AATAAAAAAATTTCACTGAAGAAATTGAAATAAAATTTGCCGAAACAAAAGTGAAATAAATAAAATAAATCCACAAAATCAAGGTTGCTATACGAAAATTAAATTTTTTCTCCCCTGACTTTTCTCTGATTTCCAAAAAAAATTTTGACTTTTTCTCTGAGGCTAAAAAATATTCTGATTCACTCTAAAAATAATTAGATGCTTAAAAAATGTTTTATTCCATTTATTCTCGAATTCATTTAAATAAAAAATTATTCGAAAACATCAATAACTTCATTTTTAAATAAAAATTTAATCATTATTATTTTTTCATAGGAATTAAAATTTTTCAAAAGATTCAAATTCAAACCTTTTCGAATTTATTTATTTTATATTATAAGAATATTGTTAAAGTCACTTCTTCAAAATTATTTTCATCATTTCAATTCAATTATTATTTTCTAGATTTTTTATCGTAAATTCCTCCTTAAATTTCTTTTTAATAATTTTTGAAAAAGTTCTTTGAGAATTTTCAAATTTATTTGTTTACAATTCAATTTTACGAAATTTCGATTATTCGGAAATTCTTCAATTAAATAGGTATATTATATTATATTTACAAAAAAAAATTGAAAAAAAAACTTTTTCAAAAAAATTAATTCTGCAGAATTGTTAGTTAAAAGTATGAAAAATTCAAATTTTTAAAGATTTTAATCTGGAACCTTTTCAAAATTCAATTACATATTTCTAAAAATTCACGCGGTAAGTTTTAAAATTCAATTAATATCTAAAACTTTAATCGAAATTCATTTTTAAATCAATTTTTATTAGTTAATTCTAGGAGAATTCAATTATTTAAATAGAAAAGTAAATAATTTATTGAATAATTGAATGTTTCTTTAAATTGAATCCTTATAAATAATTTTATCAACAAATTTTGAAATAATTAAATTCTTTCGACAAATTTAAATACAATTTTCAAGAATAATTACATTTTTTAAGGAATTTAATTATTAAAATTGTATTAAAATTGAATTGTTTATGAAAATAATGGAATTATTGCGAAGAATTTGATTATTTATGAAAATAATTATATTATTCCAAAGAATTTTATTAAAATTTCTGAAAATAATTGAATTTCTGTCATTTATTTAGATAATTCTATTCTTTCGATGAATTTATTATTTATGGAAAATAATTAAATCCCGCCTGTACAAAATTTAATTATTTATGAATATAATTGAATTTCTGCGACGAATTTTATTATAATTTATGAAAATAATTAAATTATTGCGAAGAATTTTATTAAAATGAATATAATTGAATTTCTGGAAGAATTCTCTTATTTGTGAAAATAATTAAATTATTGAGAAGAAATTTTTTAAAAATTTGTAAATAATTGAATCTCTGTGAAATTTTTATTATTTATGAAAATAATTAAATGTTTGCGTGGAATTCTATTAAATTTTTTTTTAAATAATTGAATTCTTTTGAAAAATTTTATTAATATAGTAATTACATATTGAAAATCATTGAGTTGTTAAAATTTTTTGAAAATAATTGTAATTTTGACAAGAATTTTATTAAAAAATTTTTAAAAATAATTGAATTTCGGAGAAGAATTTTATTCTTTATAAAGATAATTGAAATTTTGACGAGAATTTTAAAAATTTTGAAAATTATTGAATTTCTTCGAAGAATTTTATCACTTTTGAAAATAATTAAATTTCAACGTAGAATTTTATTACTTTTGAAAATAATTGAATTTCTGCAATAATTTTTAACTTCTCAAAATTTCAATTTTTTTTTACCCTTTTTGAATAAAAATTCTTCTGTGAATCCATTATTTGTATAAATTAATTAAGTTTGTATTAAAAATTTGAAGGTTTTGTATTAGAATTCGTGGTAATTTTATGAGGCAAACCAAAAAGACACAAAAATTAAGAATTCTCCTACGAATTCTAAAGATTCAATTTTTTCCATTACTTTTAATACAAATTCCTGACTTTTCCCTGAATTCCCTGACCTGTGGCAACCCTGAAAAAACAAAACAACTCAAAAATAAAAATTTATCAGAAGAAATTGAAAAAAAATTTGCCGAAACAAATTGAAAAAAAAATTCATTATGATGAAATAAGTTGCAAATTTTGAAAATAGGAAATAAATTTTTTGACTAAACTTTTAAAACCAGATAAGTGAATGGGACATTTTTGTCGTTTAATTTTGATAAGAGATTGACAGGTCTCGGAGAATCTCCTTGTACAAAGAGAGGGAAAGAGAGAAAGAAAAAAAAAGGAGAGAAAGAGATAGGCTTTCGTTGCGCAATCAAAGTAGTTGGCATGAGGTACTTCGACCGGACGTACTTCAAAATATAAAGTTATAAATGCAGTCAAAGACAAGTGACATGCATTACGCCATCAATAGAATATGTTTGACTTATGGTTACGTGGGCTATAAATTTATCTACAGGTGTTTAAAGTTCAGCAAAACTTGTCGCATGATTTTTTCTCGTACTTGCAATTCTTAACAAAAAAAAAAAAAAGATTTCCATTTCAATAAACGTTCGAATATAAAATAATAATAGTAGAAAATAATTTCCTTGTAATTTCCATGCAGAAATTTAAAATGGACAAAATGAACTCAAAATATTAATTTCATAATAATTAATAACAATAATTTAGAAACTAAATTAAAAAATCAAGACTTGTATCTTTAATTTAACGAAAAACTAAAAGAGAATTGAAATTCATGTTTCAGTGATCGATTATTGAATTGGTAATCTCATCGTTTGGTTTCCATGGGAGATAAAGAAATTATCAGAAATATGCACTTAAGATTTCTGTATTGAATTAGTTGTCAACAGACTCACCGTCGGGTATTAGGTACCAAGGTCCTGGTTTCTCTGACAGAAACCACAACAATCACCAGTTACAGGTGAGGACAAGTAGCTGCAAAAATTTAAGCAAACCTTCAATTTTCCTTCAGTCCAATTGTCACACTTACATTTAATTAAACACAAATTCTCTTAATATTAAAACAAAGAAATGTCTAAGAAAAAACGAAAAAAAAAGTTCAAAATAATAATCACAAAGTAAAATTTTTTTTTTATTAAATTGAATAAAATCAAGAAATTTTTCTATTTGTCTAATTTTAATAATTAATTGTAAAAGAAAATATTAACATGTGTCAATTTTTGAAAAAAATCCAATTTTGAGGTTATGATACTATCTGCCCTTTAGTTTTTTAACAAATTGTTACCGAAAATTAGCATTTCTTTCCATTTTCAAGAATTTGAATTTAAATACATCACTCCTTATGATAATTAGAGTTAATCGAGTGAATCAAAGATAAGTTAAAATTGCATAAAGAATTGCAACAATCAATAAAAATGAGAAACAAAAACATTCGGTTTTTCTAATCACAACAATTGAACACGAAAATAGGTAAAAGACAGTATGACAATTCATTCAAATTAGTATACAGGTTTTTTTTTACGAATATCAAGATTTGTTTTCATTTTCGACATTTGGGAAAAGGTCAAAGTTACATTGATTTTTTCCTCTCAATATTATTTGAAAATAAAAAATCAATTCAGTGAGATAAAATAAACGAAAATTGAATGACAGTTTAATTGAAAAATAATAAAAATTGATTGCTCTTTTTTCCGAATAAAATGAATCATGCAAAGTGCAAAGGACATTCGCCCGCAAAGCGACCGTGAAAGATGACTTTTTTTCAAGTCAACAATTCAAAGAAATAGGGAGAAATAATATTATCGAAGGTTCTAATTTAAAATATTGATTTAATTCTGCAGTAAGCTTAGGGTGTTCGCGAGGCCCAGAGGCCTACGAATTTAGGTTAAATGTCGACGAACGTTTTGCAAAGCCTACAAAGCCTACAATATAATTGATTTTTGTTCGAGATTTTTATTTTCTCACTAATGTAACTAAAAAATGTAAGAGATATAAAATTTTGTTTGAAAATCAAGTTTTATTTACTCACCTTACAGGTAGTTTTGCTACGCATCCTCGCGCAGGATAAATTTTTATTTTGTTGATGAAACACACACCGTCTCCTTCACGTCACAAAACTGCCATCTTAGACTTTATCATTTTCAAATTGCACATTTTTTTAATTCCGAAATCACGTTTTTTTCGGGGAATGATTACGAGCGCGAAGAAGAAGACTAGAAAAGTTAAGAGTGATTCACTTTACGTTTGTATTCAAAGTGTTGAAAGATATAACGAGAGATATAAAGGGAAAAATTAAAAATCAAACAGCATGCACGGACATCGCAACGCGAGTTCGCGCATAGCAGACGCAACTCCGTGACGTTAGTCGACGAGTGATCGTAGACTTGGCGCCAATTTCAAATTGAAAACGATAAAAAGAAGTTCGTAAATCTTTTTAGATTTAATTAAAATTGAAATTGATATCATTTTCGTATAATTTCGTAAAACATAATCGAGTAATATAATAATAATGAATATAATTAAAGAGGATTTAAATAATTCGAATATTGAAAGCGGTGTTGTAGGTAATAACAGTTTCTGCCTTATCATCACTTTTCAATTCTAGTGATTTTCCTGTAATTAAATATTTCTTGTAAAAATCGGCCCAATCTTGTAAATTGAAATAAATTTACTCAAATTAATCGGGGGGAAAACTTGGATATATTTCGGATTAACAAATTTCGGGGAAGAAGGAGAGAAAAAGGGTGAAATTAACCCAGACATTTGTGCGATTGGCAACACTTCCGGAAGTCCGTGAATTTAGTTTCAAACCAACTTCTCCCGGTATAGTCTGCTAACGTTTATAATCAGAGAAAAAATGTTTAGTTTTAGTTTTCGATTCGATAATAATATTAATTTTGTGCTCATCTCTCTTGTCGAGGGATTATTTTTCTAATTTTGATTTCTCAACTATGGGAAAATTGTCGCGGACAATTGGAGTGACTAGAGAATTTTTCTCCGTGATAGCTGGCAACCTGAATATCGATTGTCATTATTTATATCGTACGTTTCCTCTTCAGTCATCGATTCACTTTTTACATTTTACATTTTTACAGTAATGAGAGAAATAAGTTTAGTTAGCTGTGCGGTACTTTAAGTTCCCCATGTGTGATTTTAGGTGTTAAGGGAGTCGAGTGAAAGAGAATGACGGATAGTCAGCAGCAGTTCTGCTTGCGGTGGAACAATTTTCAGGCGAATATCACGAGCCAGTTTGAGGCGCTTCGCGATGACGAGGACTTTGTCGACGTTACCTTCGCCTGTGACGGTAGGCGATTACAGGCACACAAGGTCGTACTTTCAGCCTGTAGTCCTTACTTCAAGGAATTATTCAAGGTTAGAAAAACCCATCTCTGTCTAATAAACTTTTTCTTCTTTTGACATCAAAGTGATCCCCACCCCTTCTTTTTTCATTTATAATGGACTTTTTCTGATATCTTTCTCTCATTCTCACTCACATGCCAGACACTACCTCTCTCTATCGTACATACATACATATATACATTATATGTATCTCTTTTGATTCGACACCATACTTCCATTTCATCGGCCATGCATTTATTTTTCGATATACATATATACAATCTTCATCCTCCCTCAATTACATATATTCTCTACCAGCATCTCTCTCAAACAATCAAAATAATATTCATCGTTTATTTTTTCGCGAAATTTCTCAAAACAAATCGATTTTTCCATCTTTTTTGCAATTTTATTTATTTTATTTATTTTAATAAAATGAATGATTCAATTTCTGTTTTTTAAAATTTTATTTTGTCCTCTTTTGAATTCGATTTTTATTTTTATTTGAAAATTAACGAAAAATGATAATTTTTTTATTTGCGAAATATTGTGGAGAATTTGCAATGCAATATAATTAGTTCTGAGATGTGGGTCACCATAAACATAGTTATGTAATTGTTATCTTTTTAGCGTGCACTTGACTCCTCATGTAGATGAGCAGTTCGAGAGAGAAGAATATTGACAGATTGAATGTGATTTATTGAAAAATTATAAAATTATTGCCTTTGGAATTTAATGGAAAAGTTTGAATTCAATTTTTCCGTCTAGAAAGAAAGATTTTTATCTTTGAATGTCAAATTTTCATTTTTTCAGGGTGGCCGCATGTCAGTAAAGTCTTCGAAGAAATTTAATATTTATGAAAATAATTGAATTCTTGCAAAGAATTTTACTCTAAAAATTTGAAAATAATTTTATTGCTTCGAAGAATTTTATTATTTATGAAAATAATTGAATTCTTGCAAAGAATTTTATTCTAAAAATTTTAAAAAGAATTAAATTCCTTCAAAGAATTTTATTAATTAGGAAAATAATTGAATTTTTGCAAATAATTTTATTAAAAAGTTTCAATAATAATTAAATTTCTTCGAAGAATTTTGCTATTTATGAAAATAATTGAATTCTTGTCAAGAATGTTATTAAAATTATTGGTAATAATTGAATTTCTCCGAAGAATTTTATTAAAATTTTTTGTAATAATTGAATTTCTCCAATGAATTTTATTTTTTACGAAAATAATTAAATTCTTGTCAAGAATTTTGTTGAAAAATTTGAAAAAAATTGAATTTCTTCGATGAATTTTATTATTTACGAAAATAATTGAATTCTTGCAAACAATTTTATCGAAAATTTTGAAAATAATTGAATTCCTTCGAAGAATGTTGTTTTTATAAAAATAATTGAATTCTTGGGAACAATATTATTAAAAAGTTTTAATAATAATTAAATTTCTTCGAAGAATTTTGTTATTTACGAAAATAATTGAATTCCTGCAAAGAATTTTATCAAAAAATTTGAAAATAATTGAATTCCTTCGAAGAATTTTATTATTTATGAAGTAATTGAATTCTTTCAGGTTCTGAAAATAATTGTGTTTATTAATAATTGAAATTGTATATTTGATTGTTGAATTTTATTTAAATTTCTAGAAAATATTTAAATTATCTTTAGAACACAAAATTAAATTCCTTTAAACAATTTTATTAGAATTTTTGTAATATAATTAATTTCTTTTGAGAATTTTTTTTTAAGTTTTCTGAGAAAAAAATTTTTTTTTTAAAATAATTTTAATTAAAAATTTTGAAATTAATTAAATTATCAAAAATGTTAATGATCAATCTTCAAATGTAAATTTAAAAATGAAAATGAATGAAAATTAGCTTCTAATTTTTTAAAATTCAATATTTTCAGTATTTTCAATTACATTTTTCCGAAAATTCAAATAAAATACAAAGAATAATAACATTTATTTTTAGAATTATTTTTAATATTTTGGAGAAAAAAAGTCATGTTCTAAGTTTTTAATTAAAATTCATCAAAAAATTAATTATTTTTTTTAAATTTTACAAAAATAATTGAAAATAATTGAAAAATTCAATTTATTCGAAAAATTAGAAATTTTTAAAATCCGATTCTTAAAATTGTTTTATTATAATTTTTTAAGATTTAATTATCTTCGAACAAAGTGAATAAAAATTTATAAAAATTTACTTTTGAAACTTATTAAATCTTTGGAGAAATAATGTTCATATTTATAATTAAAATTCTTGAAAAATTTAATTATTTTTATTTATATTTTTCAAAAATTAAATTGTTTTTTAAAGTTTTTACCAAATTTCAATTGTTTGGAAAATTTTCCATTGTATATTTAAAAAACTTATCTTTCAAAAATTATTTTTAAAATATTAAAAAAAATTAATTGTTAGAATTTCTTTACTATAATTTTTTATTAAAATATTATGCCTTAATAACTTAAAAAAAACATAGACAGTTGCAATTATTATACAAAATTGAGTTTCTGTATTTAAATAATTGAATTCTAGAAGAACTTTTGGAAAATTATTTAAAATACGTAATTAATTTAAAGATGAAGTTTAGTTGAAAACTGTAGAAAATAATTGAATTCAGGAAGAAAACTTGTGACTACCCTGTTTTTTGCTTTTTCCCGATTTTCTTCTTTTTTGATCTTTTTGTCCTTTTTGTATAAAAAAAACCTAAACTCGCAATTGTTTTTTGAATAATAATCAAAACTGAATTTTAAAAAAAAATAAAAATTGTAAACTATTAATTTTAACGTAAAGAAACGTTCGTAGAATTAGAATTCAAATGGTTCAATTTACTTTATATGTTCCTAACAAGTTTTAAATGAATTTCACAGACAAATCCTTGTAAACATCCGATAATATTCATGAGGGATGTTGAATTCGAACATTTACAATCGCTCCTGGAGTTTATGTACGCTGGGGAAGTGAATATTTCTCAAGCTGAATTGCCAACATTTCTGCGAACTGCCGAATCTCTTCAAATCCGTGGCCTCACAGACTCCCAAAGCAATCAGCACAACAACGAAAAAGTAACTTTTGAAATAATCGAATTTTTTTAATTCAGAAATTTTTTTTCACTTTGATTTTGATTCTTTTTTTTTCTATTTTTGAAAAAAATACAAATGACAACAGTTTGTCATGATACAGTTTTGTCATTTACAATTTGACCTTGACCAAGAAAATGCGGCGTGAAAAATGAAAATTTTCAGTGATGAATAAGATTTTGGAATGTTTCCAGTTTTCGAAGACGAACAATATACACACTTCGAATGGTCGTGGCTTGACATCGCCGAGTTTTGATGACGAGCGCAGTAAAACTCCATCGCCTTCGAGTCCCCCACCATTGAAAAGGCTGTGCAAAAGAAGTGATTCACCTCAAAATTCTAGTCCTATACCACCAGCAGCAGTTGCTGCAGCATCAGCAGCACCTCCACCAACGAGCGGACCTCGTTCTCGACCTGTCATTGAACCTCAAGTTCAACTTGACTGTTATAAAGACGTCGATGTAGTTGAGGTATTTTTCCAATATCAATTTTTAAACGCGAAAGAAAAAATTCCCTCGAACATTAAAATTTAATTTTCTCAATTTTTATTTTTAAAAAATAATTGATTCGCAATGTAAGAAATCTTAATTTAAAAAATTTACGAAAATACTCTAAACCTAAAAAAGGAAAAATAAAAGAAATTCTGAAAGTTCAAATGAACGAAATAGTTTTTCAATTTAGATATTTTTAAAAATTACTCTAAAAACAGAATCTAAATTGAAGTTTGTAAATCAATTTCGTTCATTTTGGAAAACGAGTGAAAATAATTTCTAATTAATTTAATTTAGGGTTGCCACTTGTCAGGGAAATCTGGAAATTCAGTTAAAAAAAGTCAAGGATAGTAAAATTGATCAGCGAAAAGTCGAAGAATTTTATCAAAAGTTCTGGAAAAATATTAAATTTCTAGAATCTGTGAGAAAATTCAAAATTTTGTTGTTTAGCAATCTTTAAAATTAGTGAAATGATTTAATGCAACTTTCAATTCTTTCTATTTGAAACAATAATATTAAATTATATAGAATTGAAATTGAACTTCTTTTAAAAAAATTAATTCTTGAATTACTATTATAATAAAATTATTGTTTAGAAATTATATAGCGAATAATATTTTACTTAAAAATTCAAAAAGAAGTGAGTTTTTATAAAAACTGCGTTTAAAGTTTTTTATAAATAACTAGCAAATGATAGGCGAGAAACCTATTAATATAGTATTTAATTTATTACTATTATATTATCTGAATTACAAAATTTTTTATTTTCAAATATCAACGTCAATTTTTGAATAATTTCAAATTTATTTAGAAAAATTTTTAATTTATTTTATTTAAAAAAAACAATTTATTAATTAAAATAATTATAATTTTTTATTTTTAAACGTTTTAATAAAATTCTTCAATTCAAATCAATTATTTTTTAACGTTTTAATAAAATACTACAAAACAAATCAATTATTTCAAAACATTTTAATAAAATTCTTTGCAAAAATTAAAATATTGTATAAATAAGAAAATTCTTCGCAGAAATTTAATTATTTTCAATACAATTTTGAAAAAATTTCTTGAAAGAATTTAATTATTTAAAAAAAAATTTAGTAAATTTCTTCAGATGAATTCAATTATTTTCAATACAATTTTAATAAAATTCTTTTTTGTAGAAATTTAATTACTATTACAAATAAATGAAATTCTTCCGACAATTATTTTCAAAAATGTTTATAAATTCTTTATAAGAATTAAATTATTTTTAATAGAATTTTAATTGAATTCCTCGAAAGAATTTAATTATTATCAAAAAATTTCGAAAAATTTTATCAAAAAATTCAATTATTTTTAATAGAATTTTAATTGAATAGGTAATAATAATTCTTCGCAGGCATTCAATTATTTAAAAAAATTTTAATAAAATTCTTTGCAGAAATTTTATTACATATTTTCATATAATAGAATTCTTCGAAGAAATTTAATTATTTATTTATAATTTTAACGTTTCAAAATTTTTTATAAAATTCTTTAAAGGAATTCAATTATTTTATTGAATTCCTCGCAAGAAATTAATTATTTTCGAAAATTTTTTTCTAATTCCTCAAAAGAATTCAATTATTTTGAAAAATTTCAATTTTCAAAAAATGAAATTTATAATAATAAAAATAAATAATAATAATAAATAAAAACCTTTTTTTACAAACATTCAATTGTTTTCATAAATAATAAAACTCATCATAGAATTTCAATTATTTTTAATACAACTTTAATTGAATTTCTCGAAAAATTTAATTATTCTTGAAAATTTTATTAAAATTCCTCGAAAAAATTCAATTTTGTTGATAAAATTCTTAATGATAATTTAATTTCAAGAAACATTCATTTATTCAATAAATTATTTATTTTTGTATTTAAATAATTGAATTCTCGTAGAATTTTCCAATAAAAATTGATTTAAAAATGAACATCACTTAAAATTTTAGATAATAATTGAATATTAAAAGCATTATAGCATGAATTTTTAAAAATAATTGAATTCTTTAGAAGAATTTTAATAAATTTTTTGAAAATAATTACATTTTTCGAAATATTAATTTAGAATTGTATTTAAAATAATTGAAATCCTGTATTTATGAAAATAATTGAATTCCTGCAACGAATTTTATGACAATTTTTTAAAAATAATTGAATTTTTTTTAGAACTTTTTATTAAAATACAGATTTTGAAAATATTTGCAAATTTCAACGAAGAATTTCATTATATTCGTGAAATGTAATTTAAATTCTTGAAAATATTTTTATTTTTCTCTAAAATTTACTTTAAATTGTATTAAAAATAATTGAAATGCTCAGAAAAATTTTATAATAATTTATGAAAATAATGGAATTCTTACAAAGAATTTTATTAATTTTTTTGAAAAATAATTAAATTCATGTGAAAAATTGTATTACTTGTAACAAAAAAATAAATAATTGAATTCCTGCAACGAATTTTATTATAATTTATTTAAATAATTAAATTCTTTTGAGAACTTTTATTAAAATAGTAAATTTTGAAAATTTTTGAATTTCAGCGAAGAATTTCATTATTTGTGAAATGTAATTTAATTCTTAGAAAAAATTTTTGAAGATAATTTCATTTTTCGAGAAATTTATTTAAAATTGTATTAAAAATAATTGAAACTCTGTGAATAATTTTATTATTTATGAAAATAATTGAATTTCAGCAACGAATTAATTTTATTATAATTTTTGTAAATAATTAAATTTTTTTTTGAAAATCGAAATTTAAATTTTTATAAAACATGAAAATATCAATTACTTCGAGTCGAAGACTCGGAGTGATTGATATCTTCATGTTTTATAATAATATTCATATTTGAATTTGAATGTTTTGAAGAATTTTAATTCCTATGGAAAAATAATAATTAAATGCTTATTTAAAAATTTAGTTATTAATGTTTGCGAGTAACTTTACAATTTTAGAAATTCGTAAGTAAATGTAGTAGAATATTTTTTAGAGTAACTTATAATTTTTAGAGTGAATCAGAATATTCTTTAGGGTCAGGGAAAAAGTGAACATTTTTTCTGGAAATCAGGGAAAAACAAAATTAATTTTTTGTGGCATCCCTGATCTAATTATTTTTAGAGGGCATTAGAATATTCTTTAGGGTCTAGGAAAATAGTCAAAATTCTATCTAGAAATAAAATTTTTGTGGCAACCCTGATTATTATTCTTAATATTATTAATAATTTCTTTTTGTAGAAATGTTTCTTTTTAAAAGTGTTCATTGACAATCGATATTACATTAATTTCCAATTTTCAGCCAAAAATAGAATTACCAGAATATGGAAGTGATGATGAATGTTCTACGAAACCGGATATCAATACCTTACCGGGAGGATTTCTCAGTTTGGATGGCGGAATGGAAGTTTTGCCATCCTATCCAACTTCGTATTCAGGTATATAATTTGCAAAAAAAAAGTTGATCGAAAAGGGGGTTTTAAATATTTATAAATTCTGAAGAATATGATTCAAGAAGGGTTATAATTATTTTTAGGGAGCGGAATTGAGGGTGGAATGCCGGGACCTTCACACGGGAACAGCGAGTTAAACCAGGATCAGCAGGGTGAGTAAAAAAAATATGATTGCAATAAAAATAATTTTGGTAGTGCGAGCACCATTACAAACAGCAACAACCTAGCCAATTACATCACAAGTAAGAAATGTGAGTAGAGTGAAGGAAGGAGGAAGGAATCTTGACGGTTTGAAATGGTAAGCTCGTGTGTAGCTCGGTAGGCCTTGTTTGGTAGGCGGTAGGAGAACAATATTGACACTCGGAGGCATCGAAACGGGCACATTTTTTGGTCCGCAGAGTGCAGTTTACAGCTAATAATCACACAGCTGTGGTGTATGAACGATAACCGGCCGGGTTTTTTTTTAACCAGAAAAGAAAATTATTTTTGTTTTTTTTATTAAACCACAATAATTTGTGGTGTATTTTTCAATTTTTTCATGTCCCTTGGCTTTATCATTTCTTTTCATTTTGTATTTTAAAAAGAAATACTACATTATTTACCATTCGTTCATCACGCTCAATGCTAATGAATTATCTCTATCTCTCGCTTTTTACAAATCAATAACATGAAATCATTTTTGTTTTCTTTGTCTGTCTCTCTCTCTATCTCCATTCGCATTTTACGCTTTTTGTTTATGTTCCTAACTTTGTATATGTTTTTATGCTTGAAGAGGAGAAAAAAAGCTCTTTTTATCATTTTCAAGTTTGTCTAAAAAATTAATTTTGGAAAAATTATTTCTGTTCTATTAATATAGAAAAGAAAATTAATAGAAATTAATAGAACGAAAATTAAAGACAAAAGTTTCTATTAATGAAAATTACTAATAAGAAGAGAATCACTATAATCATTATTCTCTTAAATATAAATAAGAAAATAGATTCTCTCTTTTTAAATGTAACAATTTTTTTTATAAAAATTAATACAAAGTTGAAGTCTACAACGTTGATTAACGAAAACAAATTTTTTAATGATTTTTAATTTTGCTTTAAAGAAAAATATAACAATTATTGTTAAAGTAATTTTCTGACTTTACTATATTATAATAATTAATTATTAATTATAATTATTATATTATTAATTCTTATTATAATCATTGTTAAAGCAAAAATAAAAATTATCTTTTTTTATACATTTTTATGACAATATTGTTGCGTTTTCTTTGAAGAATGTACCTAATTATTGAAAACATCTTTTTATTGATCAAAAAGTTCTGAACTTCAATTTGGTAAATTTATTCAATTTATTAGTTAAATAATGGCGAATTTAATTTTAAATTAAAAATATCAATTTAAAATTTCAATTTTCAATTAAAAATATCAATTTTCAATTTAAAATCTCAATTTTCTATTAAAAATACCAATTTTCAATTTAAAATCTCAATATTCAATTTTCAATTAAAAATATCAATTTTCAATTTAAAATTTTAATTTTTAATTTAAATTTGAGATTTTAAATTGAAAATTGATATTTTTAATTGAAAATTGAAATTTTAAATTTAAATTTGAGATTTTAAATTGAAAATTTGAATTTTAAATTGAAAATTGAGATTTCAAATAGAAAATTAAAATTTTAAATTGAAAATTCAGATATTCAATTGAAAATTGAAATTTTATATTGAAAATGGAAATTTTAAATTGAGATTTTATATTGAAAATTGAAATTTTAAATTGAAAATTGAGATTTTAATGTGAAAATTTAATAAAAATTTTTAAAAAAATTAGAAACTTAAAGTACCAAAAGATTGAAGAAAAGAAAAATTACTATCCGAATAACTAAAATGAAAGAAAAATGAAATATTTTCAAAATTGATTACAATTTTTTGTTTGTAAATAAAAAAAAAGAGATTAAGAATCGAATCAAAATTAAATTTAGACAGACGAGATGTTTAATATTTCATTAGCATTGTGGACATGTTTCGTCTTTATCGACACTTCATACACACAGTCATTCATTAGAAGTTTATCAAGATTGCACTTTATGCAATTTCGTTTTAAAATAAAGTGCATTATTTTACTGTCTTTTGAAATAGTTTTGTTTCAATTATCGAGCGGTTTTCACTTTTGTTTTATGTTAATGATCCTTGCATTAGTATTTTTCATTTAAAAAAAAAACATTTTTTCGTGTAAATTTTATTTCCGATTATTAACAATTAAGTTTAGATATTGTAGTGCTCGTTTATTAGATTTCACTTTTCACTAAATTCACCTCAAGTTCCTTTAGAGAAATCAAAACACCCTTTCAAAATGTTTTTTTTCTTTTTTTTAAATACTTAACTTGGCAGTACGTAACAGTTTATTTTTATAAATCTTTTATGTGTTTTAAATATTCGAACTTTGTTTCTAGATAAAATTCATTTTAATTACATTTATGATGATTCTAATATAAGAAAAATAATAATAAATTCTATTTTTAATTTTATTTATCAAAATTATTGATTATTATATTAATTATTGATAATATCTTACCTCTAAATTTATTTATTGAAATTATATTTATTCAACTTTTAGTTACTAACTTTACTATTAAATATTTAATATCTTATATTAAATTAATATTATTTATTTAATTAATTTAATTATAGGAATAAATAATTTTATATTTATAATAATAATAATAAAGATTTTTTACTTAGTTTAAAAGTATTTAGACTCTTACATTCTGCCATAGTTAAAGTATATTAGAAAAATCTAGAATCTTTTAGAATTTCAGTGCAAATTGCAATCTTTAGATCATGCAAAAAAATCAAAAATGCACAGACAGCAATGTTTGCAGGGTGACCACAGGTCTGAAAAAGAAATCTAAATTTTTTTTTCTTTAAAATTATCAGATTTTTTCTTAGAGAAAATTTTTTCTAAATTAAATTTGTCTTGGACACTTTGAAAAGAACATTCTCGTAATTTTTATCAATAAAAAGTGAAAAATCTACTTGTTTGTAGAATAACCGTAGAAAAAAGGAATTAATTGAAAAAATAAACGAATTAATAAATTCATAACAATATTTATGGAATATGTTAAACTATATTTAATTATAATTAAATATAATTTAATTATAATTTAAAATATAAATGCTCTCTGAAAACTTTTTGCTTGCGGTTTCTTTCCTCAGAGCGAGTCAAAAATTATTTTCTTGTAATTCATCATAATTTAAATTAATTAATTAATTTTAGAAAATTTAATAAAAAATTATTGGAATATTAAAAATATATTTGACAAATTTTTAAAGAAGTATAAAGATTACAAAATTTAAGGAATACAGAATTTCAGTCTATTTATTTAAAGAAAAGAATATTTAGAAAAATAATTCTCAAAAGGGGAAATAATAAAAGTTTAGATAAATTCATGACAAAAATTTTTAGATTCAGAGAAAAATGAACCTCTGGCCACCCTGGTGTTCGATATTCAGGGTTCCTGCATATTTTTTAACAGCTGTCTTGAAATTTTCAATTGCCAATTTTCTCGAGAATAAAAAAAAACTAGCTTCTCGTGTGGGAAAAGGAATTTCTTGTGTAAAATTTAATATTTCGAGCAAAAAATATTCACATTTTTCCATATAAAAGAATTGAAAATATTGTCACTATAATCTGCAAAACTTGTAACTCCAATTTTCGTCAAAAATATAGTAGTAAAAAAATGTCTTTTTAAATTTTTTATAGTAAAAAAAAATTAACTTAATTAAATAATTTTAAAAAATGAACATAATTAGACAATTGAACAATTTGTCTTTAGCACAATGAATAATTATGGAAAATAATTTAGAATCGCAATTATTTTCATAAATAGTAAAATTCTTCGAAGGAATTCAACAATTTTAAATACAATCTTTATAAAATTTCTTGAAAGAATTCAATTATTTTTAATAAATATCAATAAAATTTTATATAAGAATGGGATTATTTTCAATATAAATTTAATTCAATTCGTCGAAAAAATTCGCAAGAATTTGCAATTATAATAGAATTACTCGAACGAATTAAATTATTTTTTAAATTTTGAATTTGTAAAAATTCTTCAAAAGTCAGGGATTTTTTAATCGAAAGAAATGAATATTAAAATTATTTAAACAATTAAAAAAAACCTTGCTAAAATGAGTGTTTAGATTTTATCTTAGGTTTTCCTTTAGAAATAAAATTGTTACAAATTATTCAAAAATTTATAAATCAGGAAAAAAGAATAATGAGTCAGGGAAAAGTCGGGGAATTTTGTAAATCAAATTTTGCGGCCACACTGGAAATACATGATATATAAAATTAAAAATTCATAAAGCAGCTTCGTTATTTTTAATATGTTAAATGGAGTTATGGTTCGCACATTGAGGTGACAATACGTAGTAAAAAAAAAAAAATTTGCAATAGAAAATACGCAGTATAAAATATGTAATATAAAATAAGCACACTGTTGGAAAAATCTATATTAAATTTAATAAATTTTATATAAATCAAATATGCAATACTAACATTGAAATTCAGTAGACATTTTTATTAAAATTGATATATATTTATATTAAATTTAATATATATTTTTATTAAGATTAATATACATTTATATTAAATGTAATACAAATTATATCAAATTTAATGTAATTAATGTATATTACACTGTAAAAAAAATTTCTGTAATTTTAGAGTTTTTTACGGAATTTTATAGAAACTTGTAAAATAACGCCTTTAAAAGTAGCGAATTCAAAATCCCTTTTGTAAAATTATTCTTATAATTGTGTCAATTTTTAAATTTTCCGTAAATTTACTACTCTCAGGCCTCGGATATTATAACATTTTCGACTTTTTTCGACTATTTTCAAAGAATGCGACTTTTTTTTCGACATATTTTCAAAAATTACGACTTTTCGACTTTTTTTTCCGAATATTGCAATAATTTTTAGTATAAAATGCAACTTATTTTCGAAATTTACAGTTGAAAAGAGTTTCAATAAATATTGAAATTTTGTAAAATTTAATTAAAAATAATTGATTTTTTTAAAGTGTTTTTAAAAATTTTTTTGAAAATCAACATTTGAAGAATTTTAATTGCAAATATTGAAAATAATTGAAAT